TGGTGGGGTAGTGAGTGGGGGTGGTGGGCTAGTGAGTAGGGGTGGTGGGGGGGTAGTGAGTAGGGGTGGTGGGGGGGGTAGTGAGTAGCGGGCGATGGGCTAGTGAGTGGGGGTGGTGTGGTAGTGGGTAGCGGGCAGCAAGCATAGCGAGTGGGGTGGTGGGGTAGTGAGTAGCAGGCAGAAAGTGTAGCGAGTGGGGGCGATGGGCTAGTGAGTGGGGGTGGTGGGGTAGTGAGTAGCGGGCGATGGGCTAGTGAGTAGTGGTGGTGTGGTAGTAGCTAGCGGGCAGCAAGCGTAGCGAGTGTGGTGAGCCGTCTGTGCGGCGCTGCATGGGGGAGCACCTGCGCCGCTTTGTCCAGGCTCTGCAGCTCCTGCAGCAGAGCCTTCGCCTGCGCCGAGTTTTCGGCCGTTGCTGCCACCCGGGAGTTCCTCTCCTGCAGCTCCTCAAACTGCCCCATCACCTTCATCACCACCGACGACAAAGACAAAGACAAAGGTTCCACCCCCATAGTCTTGACAGACCTCCGGCACCAAGCGCCGTTAAGCGAGCACCTACGAAGGCCGGCACGGCACGCGGGGTGGGCGTCGGGGGCGGGGGAGAGAGTGGCGGGCCGGCTACCCGTTTAAGGCCGAGTCGACCTAGGGGAGGGCCACCGACCCGACCTAGGGGAGGGCCACCGACCATTGCGCTACCGCTCCCCGCTCAGTCCTTCATCGCAAGCGCACACCTTCATCCACGGCCGGTGGTCGAGATCGCTAACAACCACTGGTTGTAGATGTGGTGGGTTTACTCTCCCACACACCGATTTGCTGTAACAAATTGGCACGTTGTGTTTCACGTGACAAACCTTTACTGATTGGCCGCGTCACGTGGATTCCTCCAGCACGAGGCACGATTTCTGATCAGAGCACCTTCCCCACGTCCACACCTCCCACCCCGCCCTTCTAATAAGTATAACCAGTAAAAACAAAGTTTTTCACTCTAAATCCTTTATATGCGTGGCGGCTAGAGTCCTCTCGTCCTCTGGCTTGAGATGACTGCCACCTATGGGTCAGATGATTGTCTGCAGTATTAAACAATTGGTAATTAAATATTTAATTTGTTTTCCCTAAACAGTGTAAAATTTTGGAAAAAAATTTTCACGAACATTAATTGTCTCGCACAACGAGTCTGTGTGCAAAATGTCAGCTCGATTGGATCACGGGAAGTGGGTTAAAAAACGACCGAAAGGTTTGCACGGTCGTAAGCGCGCAAGCAAGCAAGCGAACTTAATATAAAGGATTTAAAAAAGAACCGCCGTTTAAAATCTCCACCCCCCCCAGCGACGAGCATCTTTTTGATATGGTCAGCGGTCCGCACCTCCCGGAAGTCTTGCTCGAAGTAGCGGAACTGAAGGCACTGCTGCAGCTTCAGGTGGTGCTTGGCCCAGAACTTGTCGGCAGCACCGTCCGCCTCGCCCAGCCGCGACAGGAGCCTGGCGGGAACGACAGGAGGCAGGGCCTCGGTTTCGTTTCGTACCGGACGGGGCCGTGGGTGCGGGCCGGGTGTATTTAAGAGCTTGTCTCTTGGAATTTTGCCTCACTTGACGCAGTAATTTTAGCTGTGACAGTCCCACCCGATGACGGAGACTTGTGTTGCCTCCGAAACGTCGTGATTTATTATTTTCTTTTATTTCTATCATTACTTTTAGTAATTTTATTTTTTACCTACGTAACTTTACCGAAAAAACCTAAGAGTAAGATACAAAGGTGTCCGGGATAAGGTCGTATGGCGTACGTGGCGACAAACCACGCGAATCGGAGGTGTGGGGGGAGCGGGACGAGCGGGGCGAGCGGGGTGGACAACAAACGAAACGCGAGAAGCAGTTCTAAAGCGGTGAGTTTTGAGTCGAGACGATGTAAAAGTGTGCGGGGCTCCCCGCTGGCGGGTGGCGCTCTCACCGCTGCACGGAGCGCATCCCCTGCAGGCGGTCGAGGCTCGGCTGGTAGCCGGGGTCGCTGGAGGTCGGCTCGGCGATTTTGCTGAGCAGGCGGCGGCCCTGCTCCAGCACGGACTCCAGCAGGGCCTGCGGAGAGACGCGCGGACGTGAAGCACGGACGGTCAACCCCCGGTCACTCCCTCCCCCCGTCACCCCCACTCCCCCCCCCACCCCCCCGCTTCCTCGTCACCACCCCCCCCCCCCCCCGTCACCCCTTGACACTCCATCGTCACCCGGTAACATTTGTGAGATGTAATAGTTGTTCGGACATTTTAGATTTGTGCTTTCCGCAGCCTCGGTTCGTAATTTGCGTTGCTAATTTTTATCCGGGTGCAACTGCGTACTTGTGTATGTGCGTGTGTGTGTGCGTGTGTGCGTGTGTGCATGTGTGTGTGCGTGTGTGCGTGTGTGCGTCCGTGTGTGCGTGTGTGTGCGTTTGCGCGCGACTGTTGCTTAGGAGAGCATTACACCGGCACTGACTGGTAACATTAACCATCAAGCCACATTCTCATTGGCTGTTGTTTGTCTGTGTGGTCTACGAAGACAGACAGACGCTGTTCGACCGCCACAAAGCACGAACGACCACACCACAGGCCACCCACCACACCACACTGCCCACCACCACACAGCTTCACCACACCAGACTGCACCACCACCACCACCACACTAGCCACCGCACAGCCACACCAAACCACATTGGCCACCACCACACAGGCCACACACCACACCACCCGCCACCACACAGCTTCACCACAAACGGCCGTCGCCGCCACCACCGCTGCCGCCTAGGCCCGGCGACTTTGGGAGAGCCTCGCGGCACCACCCGAACCACCCGAACCACCCGAGGTGCCGGGGCGGGGCGGCCGCGACCGGGGCGGCACGTTGCCCCGGGGCGACGTGGCGACGTCTCACCTTGACGTCGTCGCGCTGGCGCCCGTGGGCCCCCAGCAGCTCCTCGGTGGCCCTCACGGTGTTGGGCAGCTCCGTCTCGGCCAGCTCCAGGCCCACCGCCTGCAGGGTGTGCACCGCGTCGCGCGCCACCTCCGAGAATCCCTCCAGGTCCTGGCGAAGGGAGGCAAAAGTTGGATTTTGTTTGACCGCGGTGGTGGTGGGGAGGGGGGGAGAGGAGTCCAGGGAGGGTGGAGTGTCGTTTGGAGGTGGGGGGCCCGTGACTGGTTCTAAGATGTCGTGAAATGACTAAACCACTATTTGAAACAATTTTTTTTATTTTAGCAGGTAAAGCCCCACTGAGTTGTTTTTTGCAGAAGCGACCCGGCCACAAATGATAGCCTCAACGACGTGGATTATCAGCACGTGCTAATTTATGTTGATGCTAAACGTGGGGGGGGGGGGGGGGGAACAGGAGGATCCGGAGAACAAAATCCATGTGACCACAGGGAGAGAGACACGCAAACTCCAAATATACAGCAGGCGTCAGGGTCAGGATCGAATCCACGACCTCCTGTATACCAGGCGAGGTAGTTAACATCTCGCCACCAGGAAGGCCTTCTTGGGGAGGCCTTCAGTATTGCTGATGACAATTATCATTGTTATTTTTACAAATGTGCATTTATAATATGCACTGCAAACTATTTCGACACACGGTACATTGCCTGCCCGTGCCCCTAGCCACCGCCACTGTCAAGCTGATGCATTACTCATTGCTCGTCCGGGAGCATTCCGCATGCGGTGGAGTACATGAAGCCATCGCCTCGACCTTCTCGCATTTTCTAATCACACGACAAATTGTGGGTGCCACAGTGGCCACCCCTGAAGACTCATTCACGAGGTGCCCCGCACAAGACACCGGCCTGCGACCGGTTCTGAGTTGTCACGAGCCGCGGACGGGAATTTGAACTTGGATGGGCCGGGGTTTACGGCGCAGAGGCGCTCCACCCACTGTGCCACTGCTCGCACCCCCCGCGCTTCCGCTAAAAGTCATCGCCCGCGAGCACGAGAGTGACGCAGACGACACGAGCAGCGGCGTCGCTGTCGGGTGCGCAGGCAGTGCAACTGCACCGGGGCCCCACGGTCCAGGAGGGGCCCCAAGTGCCAGGCTGACAAGAGGGAGAATATTTGGACTTGGCAGGGAGCGGCCCATTTTATTTTATTCCTCGAGCCGGCGTTTGTGTCAAGCAGGCTACTACACCACCGCTCTGTGACTTTCATTTGTGGCTTAGTTGGCCTTACCTGGTCAAATTGAAAATCGTTGTTTTTTATCGTTTTTAGACTCGCTGGCGAGCGCTCGCAAGGGGAGCGCTCGCAAAATGCATGAGCCCTCCCGTGATTCCCATGCCGTGCATGACCTTTCTTGACCTCTCTATAGAGGCCTGCTGGCTGGAAGAAAAAACGGAATTTCTTAGGGGCCAACGCGCGTTTAATTATTCACGCTGTATATTAAAAAAAAAAGTATTATCCTTCCCCCGCACCTCCGATCAGCACGATTGGCTACGTACGGTGCGAAAGAAGTTCAACATACACACGTTTCTCCCCACCCCCCCCCCCCCACCCATGTTTCCGTTACAATTCGGTGTTGTCATCGGTGTTGTTATCGGTGGTGTTATCGTAAGCGACAGAGGCGACGGGAGGGCCGTACGGAGCGCAGCTGGATCCACTCGGAGTGCGTGTAGACCAGGGTGCCTCCCAGCTCCGGCGTGAGCTGCGACCGGTCTATGGACATGTGCAGCTCGCCCAGGGAGTTGGGCAGCATGAGCTGCTCGCACACACACAAGGACAAAGATCACCCCGGTAGCCTTCAAGTGTCGTTAGTTGAGTAGTGCTTGCAAAGGCCGGCACTGCACACGAGGGGGGTGGGTGGCCAGCACCACGCCCGGCCCCGTTTGTCTCCCCAGTGGCGATGTTTACTACACACCGCACCAGGTACTCATTTGAGGCTGAGTCGACCTAGGGGAGGCCCTGGACCGGTTCAGATAATCGTCACCGGTGTTGGCCGTGAGCAGGAATCGAACTCGGGGAGCCGGGTTCGTAGCGCAGCGTAGCGCTAACCACTACACCACCGCTCCCCACACTGTGCCACGGTACACTACCACACAGTAACACTACCACACAGTAACATTGGGTCGCCATGTGGGTTGACAGCGCGGGACGCTAACCGATACACTTCCGATCACCTGCCTTTCAACACACACGCGCACGCACATATGGACACACTCAGATACAAAACAAGGATCCCACGCGTAGCCTATGCAGGCTGTTCGGACAGGTGTACACTTTCGGTAAAGTCACGTAGGTAAAAATATAAATAATAAGAAGAAAATTATAATAAAATAAAAATAAAATAAAATAGAAAATGAAAATAACAAAATTTTAGTTATTTTAATTTTTCTTTTCTTTTATGATTTGTATTATTATTTTCACCTACATGACTTTACCAGAAAGAACCAAAGAGCATGGATCATTGCAGTCACGAAAACTTCAAATCTAGAATTAGCGAGCACCTGTTAAGTCCACACCATGTGTCCTGTACGCACGTGCGTACGTATGTAAGTTCACATCGTACGTAGCCAACCGCGATAATCGGGGGTGGCGGGGAATGGAACAACAAACTAAACACAAAAATAAGTTCTAAAGAAATAAGGTTTTACACAAATGTGGCACTGTGCTTGTATTATAACGTTTTGAAATCAACTTGCGATCTCGGGATTTCTCGAACGACCAAGGCAGCCGGACGTAAAAAATTAACCCGTAAAAACAAAGTTTTTCACTATAAATCCTTTATATGCGTGGCGGCTAGAGTCCTGTCGTCCTCTGGCTTGAGATGGCTGCCACCTATGGGTCAGATGATTGTCTGCCACCATTAAGCAATTGGTAATTAAATATAAAAAAATTTTTACTAAAAAGTGTAAAGTTATGGAAAAAAATTTTCACGAAAATAAATTGTCACGCACAACGAGTCTGTGTGTGCAAAATGTCAGCTCGATTGGATCACGGGAAATGGGTTAAAAAACGACCGAAAGATGTGCACGGTCGTAAGCACGCAAGCAAGCAAGCGAGTGAACTTAATATAAAGGATTTAAAAAGCAGAGTGGAGCTGTTAGAGAGAGGAGGGGGAGTGGGGGTGGAGGGGGGCGTGGGGGGGAGGGGCGTGGGGGGGGGGCGGGGCTGTCGAGCCATTACCTGCACAGGTAAGTTGAACTCATCTTTGCTGAACCTCAGGCCAAAGCTGGAGAACGTCGACTGCAGGAAGCCGCACGGACGCAGCACGTGGACCTCGCGCAGACCGGCCGGGAACAGCTCCTGCACGCCGCACGTGAGTACACAGCACGTGAGCACGTGGAGCACACAGCACATGGAGCACACAGCACATGAGTACACAGCACGTGAGTGCACAGCACGTGAGTACACAGCACGTGAGTACACAGCACGTGAGTACACGCCGCACACAGAGCACGTGAGTGCACGCCGCATGCTCACACACAAAACACGCAGGACACATCGGAGGCACAACACACCCAAGCCGCGAGCGCGCGCCACACACAGCACGGCACATCGCAGAGCGCGCCGCCCGCAATGGGGTCAACTGTGGCAAAGAATTAAAATAGTGGGGCGCAGCCAACCAGCGCGACATTCGCAGAAGATTGAGTGGAGGTCCGCACGGGGGGTAACGGGAGCTGTGGGAGATCGCTGCGAATTGCCCGATGATGCTGGTTGCAATTACCAGCGAAACGTCGTACTCAAATTGTAAATGTTGTGGCTTCAACACACCGGTGGGCTAAAGCAGTGAACTATTTGTCTTTGTCAAAGTGACACATTTTTTACTGATTGGCCGTGTCGGGTGGTGGAGGGGTTACGACACATTTATAAATAACGCGATCTAAACCCAAAAAACGTTCATTATGAAAGAAAAGAATCAACACCACCGCACGCCGCTTACGGAGATGCGCATGAGCACCACTTTCAGCGACTCCATCGGTCTTGCCGACATCGATGACCAGGATGAAGCCAGCATCTTCCGTGTCCCGCCTGCGAGGGAGAGAGACGCAACGACACAACGCCCCACGTGAGTGCCTCACCTTTACATCCCCGGAGCCGATGGTGGAAATTTCACTCCCACGGGGTGGGCGGAGGTGGGGGAGGCGAAGGATGGGGAGGCATGAGGTGGGGGCGGAGGAGCTGGAGGTGGTGGGGCAGTGGGGGCGGAGGAGGTGGGGGCGGAGGTGGGGGCGGTGGGGGGGCAGTGGGGGCGGAGGAGGTGGGGGCGGGTGGAGGTGGGGCGGGTGGGGCGGTGGGGGCGATGAGGTGGGGGCGATGGAGGTGGGGGGCGGAGGAGGTGGAGGAGGTGGGGGCGGGTGGGGGCGGTGGGGGGCAGGAGGAGGTGGTGGGGCGATGGAGGTGGGAGCGAAGGAGGTGGGGGCGGAGGAGGTGGGGGAGGCGGAGGTGGGGGGGGGGAGGTGGGGGCGGTGGAGGTGGGGGCGGAGGAGGTGGAGGAGGTGGGGGCGGTGGGGGGGTGGGGGCAGAGGAGGTGGGGGCGGAGGAGGTGGGAGCGGGGAGGTGGGGGCGG